CTCCAGTGACCACTACGACCCACGTGCTCACGTCAGGGTGGATTTTAGGTTCAAACGCTAACTTGTTTATTTTAAACACAGCTGGAACTAAACTGTAACTATCCTTTGGATCCTTTGGAGCTGAAATGTCAGATCTGCTGCTCTCCTCCACAGGAAGCTGGATGTCACTGGGTGGGTGAGCGTTGCTCCAGTTGAACATCTGGAGATGTCGCTTTGCTCTGTGGGTAATCACAACACGTTCAGTTGTTTTCTGGCCTTTTATAGACAAACGAAGTGGGAAAAAATGATCTGCAGAGTCACTACAAAGAAAAGAGAAACGGGCCCTACAGGTGATCAGCCACATCAGACAGGGTTTATTGATCCCAGACGGAAAACACGTTATAATATTGTGTTATAGTGGCTGCGACTGTCACACGTAGAAGTTTTAGGACTGAAATACCTTCATCAGGCATCATCAGTACTGTCTGTGACTGGCTGTCTATCAACTGATCGATTCACCGAACACCAGTAGGCAATGATCCAGGTCTGGTTGCCATGGTAACCTCAGGTCTGTTTTGAAGGTGTGGCCGCCCTGGAGCAGCGTGTCTGAGCATGACCAGATTGTGTCATCCCTGATCAGGGTCAATCAGTCTGACCTGGTTACCATGGAAACCAGACCTGGACCGCTGCCTACTGGTGTTCGGTGAATCGATCAACTGATCGATTTATGTACAGACCATAGTTCGGTCTGTGTGAGTCTATGTTGATGTTTTTATTGCTATTTCCTCAGTTGTTTGTGCGGATAAATTAAATCTTATCAGTATAAACATTATGGTTCGGTCTGTGTGAGTCTATGTTGTTTTTATTGCTATTTCCTCAGTTGTTTGTGCGGATAAATTAAATCTTATCAGTCTAAACATTATTTTTATTTTACTGTTAAACTTCTCTCCGTAAAACCGCTGTTTTTTCTATGAAGTCTGGTGGATTTCCTGTAGATAAATGTCACAACAGATGTGTCGGCCACATTTAGGTCATACACAACCACAAACACTCCAAAACACATCCAGTAATGATGAGGTCAAACCAGCCCTGCAAACAGCCTGATCATGTCCTCACACGATCTCCTTCTATCAAAGTTTCGTTCAACGTTCCTGTGATTCTCGGCAAAGTTTCAAGCTTCAGCTGACATGTCTTGGGCTTCAGCGGTTGATTTCGGCACAGTATCTTTCACCAAGCAGCTCTTAATCTAAAACAATCTGTGGACAGTTCAGACTTGTTCCCCTGATTCTCACTGCTGGCTCCCTGCCGCTGCCAGGGCGTGTTGGACAGAAACCGACAGAAACCGACAGAAGCCTCAATCTACACAACATCAGGGACCCGGTGTGTATTACATGCAGGCCGAATTAAAGGTGTATTCCCGCCTGTCTCCTGCACTAACTTGGTTATGTCTTAAGAAGAAGCTGTTTTCTTAAACAAGCAATTATTCTTTAAAGAGCGAGATTTCCCAACGAAGTTCTGCATCAACCACACCGCCAAGCGGCAATGGGAGCCAACTTGTTGTGACTTGGTGATGATGACTTGTTTTACATTAGAGTCACTTTTAATCAGAAGAAGCCAAACTCCAGGGTGGACTCTACGTGGTTTTACTGTTTTGACCCGTTTGAAACCGAACCTGAATAAACCCAACACAGACACTTCCGTGTAATCGCACGGCTCGGAGAGTTGAACCCATCAGGTGGCCGTCAGAAACCCGGGACGTTTCCACTCAGTGTCCTCTACAAACTGACGCTGTTTGTCCCGGAACGTTTCTTGAAAAACGCTAAACATAAGAGAAAAGTTCAGACTCACCTCAGTCACGTTGGAGTAAAACCTGCGGGCATCCACCGAAGCGCACGGCGTGACGGTATTTGTCAGAAACTCCTCAGTGTTTTCCTCATCAGACCCTCA